ATAAAACTTGGATCCCCGGAAGTACACATGGGTATAGAAAGAACACATAAAAAGTTATTCTTAATTTTTGTTCCTTTCCCTTCCTCTGTGGGCTATGCACTGAAGATAACTGTTGAGTCCTAAGTGGTCAGCTGCATATACTGTTTACTTGCACACGGATGAGTGAGAAGCGAACGTAATAGATGCTCAGTACAGGCGTGCTTTGGTAGGCCAAGAGCTGTGGTCAAAAAAGGAGCTGCTTGGTGGAACTTCTTACTTTTGTATTTGACCATAGCTAACATTTACAGAGAACGTGTTAATATATTAAGTGATTAGCTTCTTTAATCTTCAAAACACCACTAACCATCTCACTGTAAAGAAAATGAGGTGGTATCCTGAGCAAATCTACCCTTGATTTAAATAAAAGAGATGGGGCGCACGTTTAGACTGATCCCAGAGCAGCAATGCTTCACTACCACGTACGTCATTAGATTCATTTTCCTTGACAGATATTCGACACATTAGATTCTGAGCTTCCTAGTACCCTACACACACATGCCAATAAATCTAATGCATAATTCAGTGGGTTCACAAGTTAAAAATAAACAAGTTGCCAGGAGAAGCTCTGCTCTTTGGAGAGCTGACACTGGAGGAAAGCATGTCCCAAGGTCTCCTCGATGGAGGAGGCCTAGAAAGAATACAGAAAACCACACCGTGATAAACAACACTACTACAGCAAATGCAAGCATGCCTTTCTAGCCTCTCAAGCACGAATTAGTGTAAGTCAATTGCATTGATTCAAGCTGTGGTTGAGTGAAAACACTTCTACAGAGTAAATATGGAGATTTTAATAGTCTTGCTTAATCCATTGATAAAATTTAAGCTGTATAGATGAATGACAAGGCTTCATATCATTCAGGCAGTCCTTCCCGAATATTACATCTTGCCTCCATTTGCTGATTAATACAGGCTGTCAGAAATAGTGATGTACATATTATATGATGACTAACAGACCACAGATATTTGGTGTTACTAAGTAAGGAGGAACCTGTAGGTTTAAAAGCATGCATAGTTTTGGCATCTTCTCATAACTGGACAGAGCCTAACCAGACACTTAGACAGGCTACCATCCCACCCATGCAGACAAGTACAAAAGGGACTATTTTATAGCCAGTTTTGTCCAGATTTTCCTCAGGACAAAAGTCTGGTTTTATTCAATACATGAAACAGAAGTCTGATTGAAAGGATATCTCATTCTAGTCATAATTTTAAACCATTAAAAAATGATACCCATAAAATACTTAACTTTATGCTGTAAAATAAACTCATAGGTAACTGAGTAATTCTTGGGTTCTCAGTCAAGGTCAGTGAAACGGGAAAGCATAAAGTCCTTAACAGCTGATTTTAAGTCACTCTTTCTTACTATCATTAGTACGTGAGCCTCAGTGACAACATCGTACTGGGAGAAGTTTTACCTCCTCTCCTCACAGACCAGTAAACTGAGCCCTGGAGACCTCATGGAAATTCTAAAGTGACAGATACAGTGAGAGCGAAGCCACCGCAGGAATGCTGACACTGGACCTGGAATTGGAACCACAAAACCTTCTGCCTCACTATGGGCAACTTACGTCAGATAGAGAGAACTCATAGATTCTGGGAACCAGAAAGAACCTTGGGGCCAGATGCAAATTGTCATCTCTTCAAACACTGATTGATACATGAGTCCCTGGTGAGAAGCAGTTGGCTAGCCAACCACACCTGGTGACATCTTTAGAGGCAGGACTCTCCACCCTTTATGGAGTCGCCCATTCTATTTAGGAAGAAATTCTAATTTTTACATTTTTTGTTTGTTTTTTGTTTACTTAAATTAAACCCATATAATATTATTTTAAAAATCTTTCCTATGTTGGATCACATGGCACTCAAATGTCTCAGGACCTCTCTCAAGTCACAGCTATAAACGTCTAGCCTCCCTTTCATCTGCGTGACTCAAATATTTACAGAGAATTATCATCATCTCTAAAACTGGAAAGTCTTACCTTCTCAAAACAAGGTAAACCTAATAATTTCAAATGTTCAGATCGCCTCGTTATCCTGGTTGAGCTGAGCAGTTATTCCTGCGTTTTCAATGTCCTGCTCCGCCTTGTGGGCACGGCTGCAGTTTTGGAGGGGTCTCTGCTCAGGGCACTGACTTGTTTCTCAGGCCCTTCTCTGTTCAATATGCTGTTAATGCCGTTCACATTCTCATTGCACGTTGGTCATCACACTGGTGATATTTACCTTTTAAACTTAAATCGGCGATTCTTTGTACAACATAAAATGCCTCAGCTTTATTCACATTTTATCTCACTCTTTACTAATATAGATTTTTAAAACAAATTCTGATGGCTTTAGAATGGAGAAAATAATTGTTTAGAACCTTGTCAAAGGCTTTGAGGAAATAAATATTAGAATAGCCCTGCCGCTGCTGCTCCATAGTTGAGCATCAAGCTATGAACCAGGGGGTCAGGGTTCAATCCTAGGTCAGGGCACATACCTGGGTTGGGGGGTTGATCCCCATTAGGGGGTGTGCAGGAGACAGCCAATTGATGATTCTCTCTCATCACTGATGTTTCTCTCTCTCTCTCCCTCTCCTTTCCTCTTTCTGAAATCAATTTTAAAAAATGTTTTAAAAAAGATTAGCAATAAAAAATAGGTAAATAGATCAGTACCTGTGGGGGTTGTGGGGACCATTGTTAAAATCTCCCTTTGCCATTTTAGATGAAGACTTTTCCCCCCAGATGTGCTATATTTATTTTTCCTATTTTATTTTATGTTANTCAGTACCTGTGGGGGTTGTGGGGACCATTGTTAAAATCTCCCTTTGCCATTTTAGATGAAGACTTTTCCCCCCCAGATGTGCTATATTTATTTTTCCTATTTTATTTTATTATTTAATTTTATTATTTTTTCCCATCACTATTTATCCCTTTATACCCTCTAACACCTCCACCAACCCCCCTTGCCCCTGTAATTGACTCTCTTCACATAAAATGAGAAAGACAAAAGAGAAAGAGCCAGTACTGCAAGAAGAAGGGCCTGAAAATGTTAGTGAAAATGAGCTTAATTGTTAGAACAAGAACCTAGAGGATCCAAGCTCTGTCCTTTCCTTCTGCTTATGTTACATGCTTTAAACTCTTGTTAAAATGAAACTTCTCAGTGCAGACAAATTCCCATATGGCTTTGATGTTTTATAAAAATTCCATCAAAATCAAATGAAATATTAATTTTCAAATAACCTCTAGTCATTTAATAAATTAATAGTGCATGTTTCATTTTTTGCAGAAAAAATGAAATAACCTCCTATCTACTATCCAGGTACATCTGAAGACAGTGTTCTCTGGGTTTATAATCAGGGAGACATTGTAGGACTTCCCATGAAGGAAAAAGAGCTTAATTTATCAGGATTATTTAAACTGGCTAAAGGAAGTATAAAAGAAATACTAAGAAATACTCAAAGAAGTAATTATATTTCATAGTGTCTTCAAATCCCATCCAATTTATCATATTTTAAGTGGTATTAAATGTTCTTTTTGATTGGAAGAGCCCTGTAAGTGAGAGATAGTTTTGTGCTGTGCAAATGAGCAATTTCCCCCAATTCTCTTCACATAACTGCCTGTCCATTTTCCTCCTATTATCTTATCCAAGTTAACATAATGGACCAGACCCTTGTAAAATGTGAGCCATATGCTTCATCATGCAGTTCATAATTTAAATTTTATCAATGATGCCATTATTTAAAAAAAAAAAAAATCTGACCAATTCAATATATTCCACGTATATTTAATTTCTCTATTACCCCTTGAAATATATTTCTTTTTCATTTAAGCCTATATATCTATGCATGGGGAGTGAGTTTCCTTTGGATCCCCAAACAGCATCCTAGACTGGTGTGCATGCGTGTTCCTGTGTGTACCATTTTTAGCTGGGTAGGCCATTTACATACGAGTCATTCCTTCCTTGCTATTATTGTGTGTCTGGTAGACATGTGAAAAGGTGCTGGAAGCTGGCATATTCCCTTTCTAGGAACCCAGCTTTCAGAAGAAAATGGTCTTTGCTTCATTTCTTGGTCTTCATCATGACACGGCGATATAGTCCCACATGGCCCCCCTTCGTTGCTTTAATGAGCCTTTCTTAACAGTTAGTAGCCATGCTTTACCCTCCTGGGCATCCCTCAAATCCTAATTCCTTTCTCAAGAATTTTATGTGAGGAAAAGAAAGCAGTAACTGCAAATGTCTCAATTTATGAACAACTGAAAACAAAAAAAAATAAAGAAATAATTAAAAAAATAAAAACCTTGTTGGGATGCTTGGTAAAGGACTACCAGCAAAGAAAGAAAAGGTAGAAAACCTAATAAGATTTACCAAAAAAGAAAACACTCAAAAAAAACAAAAAAAAAGTCATCCACATCACACATACTGAAGCTCTGAAAGGGTACGAGGCAGTTTCTACTCTTATAAATGCAATTTTTGCAAATATAGAGTGAGCAAATGTTATACCCCCCAAGGAGAATGAAACCCAAAAGTCCAAAATAACTCAGGGCCACTTCAAAGTCAGAGTAATATACATCCAATGTCACCACCCATGTCATAAGTATTAATAAAGAAGATATCTTTAGCCATTACACGTTATATGTAACATAGTTTATACATTATAAACCATATGCTAACATGGTTTGAAAGTACAGAGATCACTATAAGCAAACAAAAACCATGTACAGACTCTCTGAAACATATCCTCATAGAATATTTATGACCGTTTTACAGAGAAAATTGTATAAGGCCAGCATTGGATTGTCAGTATGACAGTAACTTCCCCAGTCACTTTGGAGCCAACAAACCAAAGTAACTACTGAATTAAATATATGTGTAAATAAAAGACCATTAACTTCCTGGTATAAAGAAACTAAGTTGGAAGACAAAAAAAAAAAAGGTATTTCATTTCACCTTAAAAACACAACTAAAATAAATTAGGTATTTACCTTATATGATTAAAACTCCACTGGGCACTTTAGAAGCCCAAGCAGTTCATGAAGCAGCTTCCAGGGCGCTCTTCAATTCCTACAAATGAAAGGAAGACGAAAAAGGACATTTAGAGCAATAAACATCTTTATAAAATGATGCTGATTAGCGATGAAACTTTTATTATCTCTCCACACTGCCATTTAAAAAATACCTCCCTAAATATTGCTGTTATAGATTTTGTTAAATGCACAATATAGCAATGACAATTATGTCTTTCTGGGACTTCCAAGGCAGTAAACAGACTCTGGATTAAGAAACACTACAAAAAATAAAACCTCTCAATTGCATGTTATTTTACTTAGAAAAGCTGTTGTACTATGAAAACGACAGCATTGGTTTTCTTATTATAGACATATTAGAAACATAAACATTTTTCTAGTCATAAAACTGTGATAAGTAACAGGGTGTGTGGGCTCCTTGTTTAGTATTTTACCATTGATTTCTTTACTAAATATTAGCAAGTATTCTTCCTTTATGTTCCATAATTTTCCTAGACAAAATTTATACAATGTGGGAAATGACAGTCATCAACTTGATAAGTTGATATGTAATATGTAGGTATTTAAGTGACTTCTACTTCTAGATAAAATACACTACGTATAGTAAAAAAAAAATAAACTTTCACAGCCTGTCTCAATTATCTATAAAAGAACTTATTAAAAGCATTATTTTCTCCTACCGACCTGCTAAAAGAAAATAAAGCGATAGGCGAGGTTGGCAGTTGGCTGCTGCGCAGTGTTACTTGTCTGCGTTGCCCAAGCGCACACATGCTAATTAGGCAGAGAGGGGCTGTGTCCATTCCTCTCCTGCGAAATTCAGGCCCAAACCTGAAGAACTGGCACCTCCAAGAAGACGTCTGCGCCGCACCTCCCACACTTTCTGAAAATCTCTGATCCGTTAGGGAGCAAAGGAGATTGGGGTAGGAACAGAGATGGCGGGGAGCTCATGACTAAGCGGGTCGCTCTGTCAGGGCACATTGAGTGGGTTAGAACATAAGTGAGCTGCTTCCTGTCCCACTGCTGAAGGATCATGTAACGTCATGCTTCAAGGGCTATGTTCATACAAATTACATTACCAATGTATATTTATATAAATTTATATATAAAATACACATATATACTAGTACATGTATATGTATATACATATATATACACTAGTACCCTCAGTTTGTGCTTCTTTGTCTCTTTTCTTCTGTTCTTGAGAATTATAACTCACTCTTTTTATTTTATTTGACATAATCTTGTTTAATTTAATTTTTTAATTACAGTTGACATTTAATATTATTTTATATTAGCTTCAGGAGTACACCCCAGTGGTTAGAAAATTATATAATTTATGAAGTGATTCCCTTGATAAATTCAAGTACCCACTTGGAACCATACATAATTATCACAATGTTATTGACTATATTTCCTTTGCTGTACTTGTTTTATATATCCCGGTGCCTATTTTGTCACCAATTTATAGTTTTTAATCCCTTTACCTTTTTCACCCAGACCCCAAAACCCTCTCCACTCTGGCAACTGTCAGTTTGTTCTCTGCATCTCTGAGTCTGTTTCTATTTTGTTTGTTCACTTGCTTTGTTTTTTAGATTCCACATATAAGTGAAATAATATGATATTTGTCTTTTTCTATATTACTTATTTCACTTAGCATATCCTCTATGTGCTATTGCAAATGGTAAGATACCATCCTTTTTTATGCCCAAGTAATATTCCATTGTATATAAATACCACTAGTTTTTTATCCACTTGTCTATTGATGGGCACTTGGGTTGCTTTCATACCTCAGCTATTATAAATAATGCTGCACTGAGCATAGGGGTTTGTATATTCTATTGAATTAGTGTTTTGGGTTTCTTTGGAAATATACACATGGGTAGAATTGCTGGGTCATAGAGCAGTTCTATTTTTAATTTTTGGAGGCACCTCCACACTGTTTTCCATAGTAGCTGTAGCAGTTTACAATCCCCCCCAAAGTACACAGGCTTTCCCTTCTCTCCACATCCTCTCCAACCTGCTGTTTGCTGATTTGCTGACGGAGCCATTCTGAGAGGTGTGGGGTGATACCTCATACCTCATTGTGGTTTTAATCTGCATCTCCCTGATGATTAGCGACCTTGAGCATCTTTTCACATATCTAGTGGCCATCTGTAGGTCCTCTTTGGAGATGTGTCTATTCGGGTTCTTTGCCCTTTTTCAAATTAGACTGTGTTTTTTGGTGTTGAGTTGTATGAGGATATTTTTAAAAATTAATTTTGAACATTAACCCCTTATTGATTGTATCACTGGTAAATATCTTCTTCCATTCAGTAGGTTATCTTTTTGCTATGTTGGTGGTTTCTTTTACTGTGCAAACCCTTTTTAGTTTGATGTAATCCCATTTTGTTTATTATTTTCTTTTGTTTCCCTTACTCTAGCAGTATAAGATATCGCTAAAAGCTAAAAGAGAATTCAGAGAGTTTAGTTTACTGCCTATGTTTTGTTCTAGGAGTTTTATAGCTTTGTTTCTTACATTTAAATCTTTAATTTATTTTGAGTTTATTCTCATATATGGTGTAAGAAGTTGGTCTATTTTTTTTTTTTTTTTTTTTTTTTTGCATTTATCTGTCCAGTGGTCCCAGCACCATTAACTGAATAGACTGTTTTTACCCCATTGTATGTTCTCGCCTCCTTTGTCATATATTAATTGACCACATAGGCAGGGGTTTCTTTCCAAGCTCTCTTTTAAACCTAGACACTTTCCAGCCAACTAACTACATTCTGAATGGTAAATATCCCATTACATTCTAGAAAGACATCAGAAATTATATTTACATTAGAGAGAAACTTACTTTGAAAGAAATTGTTAACCATTTTTGATAAGGAAAGGAGTATTCTGAAGTTCAGAATAGTGGGACAGCAGATGGAAAAATAAGGAAATACAAGGAATGGCTGCACAGCATTTTACGAATTTCAGGACATACTGCAGAACTATCCTGATTTCCCGAAAACACATCAACTCATCCAATGTTTCATCATCTTATACCTCTGTATTCACAATTGTTTGCCTTGTTCTCATTCTGCTATTTATAATTCTATTAAAACAACATTAAACTTCTACTGAAGACTCACTGTGACAAGTGCTGAGGTGGGTGTCTCATTTAACCTACAAGATATATACATTATCACACTTTGCAGACAGCTGCCATTGTCTTATATAGTATATATCACAAGATAAAAATCCTAAATTGGAAGCTGCATGTTCCATAAAATGAAGTGCTGTTTCCGACTAACTGTAAGTTTTAACTTCTACATCTTTAAGTTGTTTCATTGTTTCTGAATGTTGAAAGTGTTTACTAAATAATTAAAAATGTATATGACATGTAAAAATTATCAAACAAAATTCATTATTTAGTTATCCAAAACTTCCATTTTAGCATTCTATTAGGATGGGGAGGATGATCCTGGCCCCTTACAAGTGCTTTTGTTTATAATCACATTTAAGGATTAGATTTATGACATCTTCAAGGAAGAAGCGTGTATTATATCTCCAACCCACACATGGGAATTTCCCAATTTTGTGGAAAGATCGATTTAATTAAGACCAAATACTGTTTGAGACAGATGAAGACTAAGCTACGGTGGCAAAGTAAATGGTATGAATGAAAAAGAAACAACTATTTAGAAAAGATTAAAGAGAGACTATTTTGCTAAACAACAAAAAAGCTGGGTACAGGGAAGGAGAAAAACGTATTAAAAATCAATTTTATAAGAATTGGTGGATGTAACTCAACTGATCTGAGGACAAGCTCAGAACAAAGAACTTGAGGAACTGAGCCCTCAACATTGTGATCGAGACACGAAATTGAGATAAGTGATGTCTACAACACAAAACATGGGGAACTGATGAATCTGTATTTGCAAGTATTTAAGTAGACAGAAGATAGTCCAGGCCATATGTAAAAATAAAAAAATCTGCCCACAGGCTTAGGGTGTTCAATAACATCACACTGAAAGCAAGCAGCATGCCTAATCAAATAAAATGAGACCCATTCTGGAAAAAGTTCACAAAATACGCATAGAATTTTTTTTAACCTTAGGTGTACAAATACTGTTGTTTTTTCCTCCAAGATCACGTGATCAAAATTACTCGCAGAGATAATATTCACCTCCAAGTCAGCTCCCTCTCCACACTATCTCTAATGCCTTTCTAGGACACGATCGCTGCGTATGATACCGAATCCCAAACGTGCGTGTCACACTAAGCAGATAACGACCCTGAGGGCAGCACTGGATTAATGCGGGGATTAGAGCACAGTGCGCTGATCCCGGTGCCCAGCATGTCATGACTGATTAAATGGCAGCTGTTACTGTTATGTTATTATCTACATAACGGAAAAAAACATAAAAGGAAGAGAGTGGTGGCAAAAGGAAAATGTTAACGGGGGTCGATGAGCATGCTGTAGCTGGAACAGGAATTTCAGGAGGATTTATATCTTTAAAACAAAAGCAAGATGATTTAATCCCTCTCAAACAAGCGACTTTAACTTCAAGGTGAGAGATACGCATTGTCATTTATAAAAGAATAATTGTTTTATTTACTTCTTTGGACAATGAGTATAATAATCTCCAAGAATAAGCAATATTTTAAAATTTCAAACTGAGGTAAGTATGTTATTTAGGTTTAGAATGGTGGGCCAGGGAGTATTTGAAAACAAGGGGAAACGTGTCTTCATAAACCTTCGATGATATTTAAGGGGGGAAAACGCATGCCCAAACAGTGAATATTTCTAGGTATAAATACCGTCTAGTTATGAATTTACATCTCTACCTTTACAAGAGTTTAGGAGAAAATCTTTGCTTTAACTAAAAGGGGAGGCATTTTTTACCATTCTTCTCTTTTCCATCACCTGTTTTAGTGATTCCCATTCTTTATTTCAAAGTAGGGAAAAGGTGGAAAAACTTTTTACAGAGGAAATACACAGTATTCTGGCACCCTCTCCTGAAAGAAAAGTAATTCTCTCACTAATTTTTCTTATTTGCCGTTATTAATAA